TTTAGGGTTCAGGGTTCGGGGGTTTGGGTTTAGGTTTGCTGCTACTGTTACTAGTATTGCTACTCGTTACTAAGTCTACCATGTCCATGACTTTTCCCATTCCCAGTCCTAGTACTAGCATTACCGCTATCACTATCTCTATCTTGTTACTACGATACGTATCGCTATTCCCATTAGTATTATTATTACTATACTGTTACTGTTGCTACTATTATCATTACTACTGTAGGTTGCTATGACCATTGCTCTTCTTGTACTTCACCTCTGCAAGTACCAATACCGGTAGCATTACCTACCATTAGCATGAGCATTCCCACTACCCTTAGCATGACGACCACTACCATTACCATTAGCACTAGCACGAGCGCTACCATTACCATCATCTTTACTACTGCCATTATGCTTCGCCATTGCTATCGCTGTTACTATTACGGTTACTGTTAATAAGAACTGTTATTATCGTTTTTGTTGTCATACGGTTTAAAAACTGCTACTACAATCGCTATTTTTATTTTTGTTGATTATATGATTGTTGGTATGACGGTTATTACTTTTACAACTAATGTCACGGCTATTTGTTGTTATTATGAGTCTTGTTGCTATAATTAACATGAACACGAATACTCTTGTTGTGCATATTGTTATTGCTACTACTGTTATTGTCATTGTTGCGGTTGCCGTTAGTCCTATTCCGATTATTGCTACTGGTACTGCTACTATTGCTAGGAGTGTTGGTGTTGCTATTATTGTTGCTACTCCATTCCTTTTACCATCACCATCCTTATCAGTATCCCTCTCATTATCCTTCTCACTGCCACTATCACTGCCACTACCATTGTCTTTGTCACCATCACTATCAGTATTATCGCCACTGTCACGATCATGATTGCTCTTTGTATGGCTATTGCTACGAACGCTTAGCTGTCAACCCTGAACTCCCGACTACCAGCCATTATTCCGTTACCATTTCTATTGCACTCGCTTCACCTTCATTATTCCCAGTAGTATCACGATCACTCTTGCTAAGAGTATCACTATTGCCAGTCTTGTCATGGCTCTGAACCCTAAACCCTAAACCCTAAACCCTAGAACTGTGCATCCAGATCTGGGCCTGCAAGGCAACACCTGCCAAGAGGAGAAGGTCGAGCGAGAAAGAGACTTGCTCTGAGTTTGACATCATGCTTAGCGATTGGGGTTTATTCATAAGCGTTTAGGACTGAGGTTTGGGGGTGTAGAGAGCTTAGGGTTTAGGGTTCGGGGTTTCAAGCTGAGCAGGCCTGCCCTATCTGCTGTCTGCCTCAGGCCCCATGTCCTTCCCGAGGTGACAAACCGTCTCGGGCCCGGCTTCAGCAGAATCCGGCCTTCCAAGCCTCCGAATGAAACTGGGGTTCTTGCAAGTTCGGGACTACTGCAGCATGGATGTCACTTAAGCAAGGGAACCTAAGTCAGAAACGACGTCGCATCCGAAGTACTTGAGATGCACTCTTTCGGCTCTTTCGCCCCTTCAACCCTAAGCCCCACACCGCAAGCCCTCTCGAATTGAACTGGTTTGGAATCCGTTGCTGGGAACCTCGTGCCCTTGCGCTCAAGCCCCAGTCCCACAGTAGAAAAGAACTTTTTCCTCGGAGCTGCTCCTACTTGGAGGCCCAGTGGACTTGGTAAGTCGGTTATAAGTAGGGTTATAGTTGGGGTAACTCCATTTGGGGTACTTATAACTCTACTTATAACCTACTTACTAAGTCCCCTGAGCCTCCAAGAAACCCTAAAACCCTAAACCCTAAACCCTAAACCCTAAACCCTAAACCCTGTCCGAGGGCTCCTGGAGCGTCTTCAGAAGGGTTTGGAGAAGCACAAGGAGAGGGTTCCTTCGAGCTGTGATGCGATGCGCCAACTCTTGGTGTCTTAGACCCCAGGTCCCTAAACCCTAAACCCCAAACCCTAAACCCTAAACCCTAAATCCTAAACCCCAAATCCTAAACCCTAAACCCTAAACCCTAAATCCTAAACCCTAATCCCTACACCCTAAAGCTCCTGTGGTGACTCTGAGACTTTCAGCTTTTTTTGCTGTTGCTCTGGCTCTGGTCAGCCGGCCTCGTGTCTTCTTCAGTTGAAGTTTCTAGAGGACGTGGGTTTGTTGAATTCGGAGTCAGCCAGAGAACCCAAGACCCCTTAATTGAGGAATATACCCTTCAACCATAATAGTGTGGCCCCTATAATTTAAGGTATATTCCTTAAATTACGGGGTGTTGGGTTCTCTGGGCACGTCTGAGCAGCTTTGCTGCAACAGTGGCTTTGCTAGAACGAGTTCAGGTTGATCCTGAGAAGAGGCACACATGGCCCTAACTCATTTAGTTGTGCCTTAACCCTAAACCCTAAACCCTAAACCCTGTGCCTTTGTTTCTGTGTAACCTGTCACATCGAGGATTAATGTTTTTTTTCGTTTTTGGTTGTACCTCCGGTAGTATTCTGCTTGTCGCTGCCATCAAGACTTCGCCTCCCCGTTGGTTCGTGGTCGTGCTGTCGAGTCGGACATCATTACGGCTGCCTGCACGGATTCATTGGTTGTGGATGCGGTCGGAGTGATCGTTTTCAGGAACCCTGGCAGGTATTCGCTGCTACTCCGTATGTTGTAAAAGCAGCGAAGTGCAGTTGTGTAGGCCGTTGTAAAGACGTTACTGCCGTGAACGCCTGCGGATCGCGAATGGACTGATGGCAAACCTTGGGGTGCAGACATTGTGTGTGGTCTTCTTCTTCCTGTTTCTGACTTGATTCCCTGTATGTTAAGCCCTTATTGCAATCTCTCTTGTTTTCCCGTCCTCGTGCGAGTAATACCGTCAACGTCGTCGTCGTCGTGGTAGCAGTGGTGGCGATGGCGATGGCAGTGGCAGTGGCAGAGGCAATAGCAGTGGCAGTGGCAGTGGGAATGGCAGTGGTAGTGGTATTGTGGTTGTTGTGTGGTGGTGGTGGTGGTGGTGGTGGTGGTGGTGGTGGTGGTGGTGGTGGTGGTGGTGGTGGTGGTTGGTGGTGGTGGTGGTGGTCGTCGTCGTCCTTCTTTAGCAGTGGCAGTAGCAGTTGCAGTAGTTGTGGTAGGATGCCTGGTGTTAGCAGTGGGAGTTGTTCTTACCATAATGCTCACTATTGCGGTTTTGCATGCTTCAGACTAGACTTGAAATTCACGAGTCAGGATGGTTGAATCAATGGCCTGCCCTTGTCGCCCATCACAGCACTACAGTACTGTGCGAACCACTGAACCCCTGAGCCCGAAACCAAACCTGCAGGAGAGCCGCCGCGAAGCCAAGAACACGCGCCAGCGTTGGCACGAGGAGGCGCATAGACGGAAGGAGTTCCACTGGCACGGGCTTGAGATGAAGGAATTAGGCTCTCTAGGGCTTCTGGGTGCAAAGTATGATAGAGCTATTGGGGGT